TCAGGAGGCATCTCATTGCACCACGTAGGGGAAGGCGGCAGGTGTGCGCTCTGTCCGCCCAAAGGGTCCTAGGTTGCTAAGAGCTCTTAGCAACCTGTGATGCCCTGTCTGGCATCCCACCTAGCTCACTGACGTCACTGGCTGTCAGAAGATGAGCAACACTCTGGCTGGCGTCCCAGCTCCTGGCAACCAGTGATGTCAATGAGCTGGGCGGGATGCTGGACAGAGCCGGAACCAGTGCATCACTTGTGCCAGAGGTACCGTGCATCACCCGCGTCCCCCCCCGGGCCGTGGACCACCAGCACCCCCCCTGCCTCAGGCAGCAAAAAGTGTAGGGACCCCTACATACTAAGCTACCACTGGATGGCCCACCAACCCTTCATCAGCAGAAAAGATGGAGATTGCTTATTATTACTGAACACAAAGGGGTTGATTTACTGAAGGCAAATAGACTGTTTACTTTGTAAGGGAATTTGCACTCTGCAGGGGAAGTTTCCTCTTAGTTTAGTGAATGAGGAGAAGCTCTGCTGACTTCCATCACCCAATCATATGCAAACAAAAATACTTTTTTTAAATTTTTCCTTCCACATAATTGGGTGATGGAAGTTGGTAGCGCTTCACCTCATTCACTAAACTAAGAGTAAACTTCCCCCGCTAAGTGCAAATTCCCTTGCAAAGTGAACAGTCAATTTTCCTTTAGTAAATCAAGCCCAAAGAATCATGTGACCGATGTCATAAGAAGCTGGCAGTTATATCACATGTAGTAAATATAGCATACAGAGTGACAAAACGTACAAAGATGACTAAGAATACCACAAAACAGTCTCCTTCAAACGAGAGTTTCCTGTACATTGTTTTCCTCCTGTCACAAATAGGAAGTCAGGCGTGTGCAGGAAAAAGACATCCCCCCCCCATTAAAGAAGACCACCGGTCTATTTTCAAAGCAGAAAACAGTTTTGAAGCAAGCGAAACTAGCATGAGCCACAGCTTTCGTGTTGGCAGTGAGCTGGAACTACAATGGGCGCTGCAGTATCTAACATATGCAAAAGCAGTTATTATGAAGGTACGTCAGCAACACGGCGGTAACATATAACTTTTATACACACCTGACAGGGAAAAAAAACTGTGCCTGTAATTCCACTTTAAAAAGTAAGCAATCATGTAAGGGGGGGACAGGGGGGAAATAAAAGAGACTGACTTATAAATCTAGTGACAGGTCCACTTTAAAGATCATCAAGTCTAAGTAAGGCGAAGGTTACAATGTGAGCCAAGTATGATATTCATTTGTGATGAAGAGCAGGAAGTATCACAGCACAGACCACAAAACAACAAACATGGCAACACACTGAGTCTGTCTTTGGAATATGGACCGGCCTACAGACAACACACAATACTAAGATCGCTCCCCAACATCACTGAACACACTGCACGTACATAGCATTAAAAACTGAGAAAAAAAACACCATGCATGCTCCACATTGCTCATTTTAAAGATCAACTTCATCCAAAATTGATATTTATTCCAGTGTGGTCTTTGGCAATCTGAATCCCATATAGGGTTGCCACCTGTCCAGGATTCACCTGGACAGTCAGGGTTTTGAATGCTGTGTCTGGGTTTCATAGCAGCAGAAACCAGGACACATAATGTTAGGCAGACAGGTGCAACCAAAATTAAGATAGGGGCTACTGGCCCCCCACTGAAAACAGTCTCAACTGTGATATTTACATACAATGGGTGACGCATTTTACATATGAATAAGCCACAACTCAATCTCCCCAAAAATGCCTGCACGTCGCAGGGGTGTTCGGGTTACGCTTGAAGAAAAGGTGGCATCTCTAGCTTCATATAATTTTAAAGTGCTGAGGTCTGTCCACCTGAATTTCCAGTATTGCCCGACGGCCACAGCTCTGACACACCCAGGTGATGGTGTCACTCTCGCCGGATGAATTCTCCATAAAGGAGAAAGAAATGATTGTGCCTAATTCAAAGACATAGTGAAAAATCTCTTTGCTACAATGATTCTCTTTTCCATAAATACTAAAGAAAACATTCACTAAGCGTGATCTACATTCACCAAGCAGCTGAAATGGGGAGAATCTTCATTTTGGGTTCAGGAAGAGCATGGCTTGTTCAAGGACAGATGTTTACAGAATCCCATTTTTTAAACAATAATGGATCATCACGATCATGGAAGTGTCTTGTGTTTTTAAAGGAACAATATACCCAGAATTGATATCTTAAGAATACTTTGGTATAGCGTTGCACAGATACTTTTCGAGTACCAGTCCAGATACTTGGCATTTTCATGAGAACTAGCAGGGTTGCAGCGTTTGCAGCTGGGGCCTGGCTCTGGCGCTCCACCACTGTCCTGAAATCATTAGTCTGTATTGTTTTAGAAAAACTGTCACATGGCAATAAACAAAAATGTATCAGTACTCGTACTTGTAAGTACTCGTACTTGTGCATCCCTTTATTTATATTTATAAAAACAAAATCGTACATTAAAACAGAGATGTACAAATCCCGGGAGCTCCGTGTGCTCCTTACACGTGACAGCCGCCTCCTATTTTTTAAATTTTCCTCTAGTCTAGTCTTGGAGCTCAAAAGTATCGGTACATGTACTCGTACTTGTACCGAGTACTGTACTTGGTATCTGTGCAACCCTACTTTGGTAGGTACTGAAGTATTGAAACAGCTGATGGGTTCTTCTTATATCTCATTGGGGCTCCATTGGTGAGATATCTGTGATGTGTTCCCAGGTCTGGGCATCTGCTGGGCCCATTATTAGAGCCTCCCACCATTCCCTGCGGGATATATTGTTTGTTTTATATATTATGAAGATTATGATGCGAGGAGCTGGATCACACAAACAGCCAAAACTTGATAGAGGAACAGATCTGGGAACTATGAAGACAGTTTGCTGTAGGAGCATCCACGAAATAAAAGAAGCCAAGGTATGACTCAGCCCACCATGCAACAACTATAACTAAAACATCACTTTTAGATGGACTGGTCCTTTAAGAATCCCTGCCACTCCATCATGAAGCCAGGGTATGACTCAGCCCACCATGCAACAACTATAACTAAAACATCACTTTTAGATGGACTGGTCCTTTAAGAATCCCTGCCACTCCATCATGAAGCCAGGGTATGACTGAGCCCACCATGCTACAACTTTAATAACTAAAACATCACTTTTAGATGGACTGGACCTTTAAGAATCCGTGCCACTCCATCATGAAGCCAGGGTATGACTGAGCTCACCATGCTACAACTTTAATAACTAAAACATCACTTTTGGGTGGACTGGACCTTTAAGAATCCGTGCCACTCCATCATGAAGCCAGGGTATGACTGAGCTCACCATGCTACAACTTTAATAACTAAAACATCACTTTTGGGTGGACTGGACCTTTAAGAATCCGTGCCACTCCATCATGAAGCCAGGGTATGACTGAGCCCACCATGCTACAACTATAATAAGTAAAACATCAATTTTGAGTGGACTGGTCCTTTAAGAATGCCTGCAACTCAGTCATCCACCACAAATATTTTCAGCATAATGAAGTAATCTTGTACTGTACATATGATATAATTATATACCATCAGATTTGACAACGGTCCATGATTTGTAGGGGAACTCCCAGGTTTTGAAAATCTGAATGTGGAAATTTATGCTGTAAAAATGTTCATTTTCCAAACTGGCATAATGTTCCCTAAATTCTCTTTTTCTACATGTAGTGTACAGCAGTTTCTGCTCACCTGGCCATTTAACACCATTAAAATGCAGAAAAAAAAGTATACTCTACGTAAGCTTAATTTGAACTGTACAGCTATGTGGTCCTCAAAGACAATACTGAGGACAACAGCTGCGGAAACTGTGGCTCCCCAGATAAGCGTTCCTTAAAGAGTTTGGAAAATCCAGCTACAGATATCAAAAACCCAAAGTGTCAATAAAACCGATCAATGAGAACAATACCAACCAAATGAGTGAAATGTACATTTTCTTCACAGTGTTTCTACCTGTCATGTAAAGAACCTCAATGGACAAACCAGAACTTGACTTCCAGTATGTTAGTACCAAAATATTTGTAATGGTTCAAATACACTGATATTATACAATAAGCTTTTTCAACCAATGAGATTTGATGTATGTATGTATGTATGTATCTATCTCTCTGTCTATCTATTTATCTATCTTCCTATCCACTCATCTATCTATCTATTTAGCCATCCAACTATCTATCTATCCTTCTATCTATCTTTCTATCCATTTATCCTTCTATCTATCTATTCATCCATCCATATGTCCATACAATTATACAGCCAATCTTCTATCTATCTGTTTATCTATCTATCTATTTATCCATCTTACTATCCACTCATCTATCCATCCATGTAGCCATCCAACTATCTATCTATCTATCTATCTATCTATCTATCTATCTTTCCATATACCTATTTTTTATTTCTTATTACAGGTATTTATATAGCGCGGACAATTTACACAGCACTTTACATAGTTGCGCATTCACACATCAGTCCCTGCCGTCAAGGAGCTTACAATCTAAGGTCCATGTCTCAATATGCATACACACAGGTCCAATTTAGACAGGAGCCAATTAACCTTCCAGCATGTCTTTGGATCTCTTATATGTATCATAGATCACCCTTCATAACTAAAGAGTGATCATTCCCAAGAGCAGTCGCCCATAGAAACCTTTCCGAACCCATCTTTTTCTGGTGTGACATCAGCATCTGCATATAAAGTTATGAACTAAAGCCAGAAGCATGAAGAAATTGCACGGCATCCTTTGACTCAATGTAATCTCTTTACCTTCTCTGGAATAGCGAATTCTTTCCCAAAGTTCCTAAAATTTTTCCCACAGCCCCTCACCGCAGCCTTCTCATCTGACTTCAACCACCGGACACGTTCTATCCTAACATAAGCCAACACACATTGATACAGATGTCAATAGATCAATATATAGAAAAATACCTCTTTTAAAACCCAGGGAGCAGCTTTGTACCAAATCCTCTTTTAAAAAAAACAGAAAAAAAACTATCTGATGGCTTCCTATTGCAGCAAACTCTTCTTCCTAAACTTCAATGCTACAAGTAGGCAGAGGCTGTCCTCCCAGAGCCGGTTCCCCTCCTCCATACATCCTGGACACTTTATTTCCCTGTTGATAATGGCTATTTTTTTTTTTTCAGAGTGATTGCTGGAAATGATTCTGCTCTCTCTGTGTCTCTCTTTGGAGTTGTGCTGCTTCCTCCTCTCTCTCTCTCTCTCTCTCTCTCTCTCCCTCTCTCTCCTCCTCCCTATTCCCACCAGTGGAGGCCTGACCCATTCTGACTTCTTCATCTGCAGCTGGCTGGGCTATGGTTCTATCTCCATGGCAACCGGTAGCCCTGAACACAGGATGGGCCTTCCAGTGGGGGGATAGGGGTTAGCTTTTAACTCTTCTTACTCCAGAGGGAGGGGGTCCCGGATACAATGCATTCTGGGTCAAGCTCATCCTGGAAGAGCTAATTGCAATTATTTTAACCTTCGCGCAAGATCGAAAAAGGATGCAATGGTATTAAACCAAAACCTCAGTGGAATTGTTACATGGGCTAAGGCGCTCTGCAGATGACATTTTTGGATTTGTTTTTGTTTTCTTTGTTTGTTTTCTTTATTAACTTTAGAAGTTGTTGTTTTGTATGTTAGGATTACAGTTTTGGAATGCAAAAGAAAAAAAAGTTTCTGACTATACGATACTTTTTTTTTTTTTTTAGTATTATCTTTTGGATTCATTTTTTGACTTTTTGGACCTCTGGTGCTATGTAACCTTTTAATGCCAAATGGCTTGCCTATAGAAAGGTGCCTAATATTAGAAAGAAAAGCCTTCTCTGCGCCCCTGTGATTTAGTTTCAGCGTGCTAAAGTGACACTAAACTCAGGAACTAAACTCCCGATTGGTGCCGGGACGCACTGGATCGCATTCCGGCCGGCTCACTTTGTTTTGGGGCGGGATGGAGTGTGGTGGTGCATTGAAGTCAATGGCATCGCAGCCACGCCCTCCGGCCACAGTGCGATTGCCCGCACTGGAACGCGTGGCACATCAGTGCCTGCATTCTGGTCCGGTGCAGTCAGAAAAATGCTGCATGCACAATTTTTTCTGACCCGACTGGAACGCAGACATTGATGTGCCACACGTTACGGTGCGGGCTATCGCAATGCGGCCGGAGGGAGTGGCTGCGATGCCATTGACTTCAATGTACTGCCAAACCCCTTCCTGCCCCTGAACGCAAGGAGCCGGCCGGGATGCGATCCAATGCGTTCCGGCACCAAATGAGGCCGGAACGCACTGTTTGTGAACAGTAACTGCAGCCAATTATCTTAACGTCATCTAAGCTTCAACATGTCATTTCAAAAGTCATTCAGTCAGTAATAGTATTTTCAAATCTGAAGCTGTTGTTTCAATAATACCTGGTGATCCTGCCATGAAGGTCCTTGTCCATGCACTTCCTGTGATAGGGTGACAACACTCTGTTCCTGTCTCACAACTGTGTTCTTGTGTTGTCACTATGTCACATGGGCTTCCCATGGATACTACAAATGCCCATTTAAACACACAGCACATGGGCATTGTCCACTGCTGTCACCGACAGGAAATTAGAAATACCACACAGCCATCGTTGAGTGCATTAAGCCAGGAAGTGGCTACAAAGAGGCTGCAGGGGATGAGAACACTAAAATACAACAAAGGATGTAAAAGATGGTGGTAAGCATCTTTTTTGTTTTAAAAAATTATAATTTTTGACAATACATGGTGCTTTAGATGTAATTCAGTTAGAATTTAGATCTACTTTAAATGCTTGACCTATCCAAAGCTGATATATTAGATGCAGGTAGGTTAGGTTAGCAAAGGGGTGGGCAACCTCAGCACTTCAGATACTGTATGTTAAAATTACAAATCCCTGTGCCTTTGGGACTCATGCCTGTGGCTGTCAGAATCTTGCAAGGTCTCATGGAACTTTTAGTTCCACAACAGCTAGAGTGCCGTGGTTTCCTACCACTGGGTTAGACGATGTTTGTTGTCTCTTGGGAACCCCATGGGAGAGATTTCTGCACTCAGGTTCCCAGCTCCACCCGCCTGCTCTCTCTTTCTCCTATGAAGGGTCTCACTATAGATTTGAACATTACATGTAATATCTCCACATGTGAGCAAACCGAAAATACACAATCCTTCTCCTTTAAGTTCAAACAACAACAACTACCGTAGTGTTTAATGATAGAACACGATTACATTTATATGACAAGGACTTTGTGAGCATTGAACTGTCTCAGACAATAAACACCGAGATTCAGACTTTCCGTCTCTAAGGCTGGGTTCACACCTGGGCGTATTTTTTCTGCTCGGTTTTCAGCTCGTTTTTTTTTTGCGTTTTTTAGCACGTTTTTCCATTCAGTGAAACAGTATGGCAGTATGATTTTTTTTTCCCCCCTTATTTTCTCTACTTTTTCAAAAAAATTTATTTATTTATTTTTTCACTTTCAAACTTCCCGCCGGCTCCGCCCCCCTGCGACGCGGCCGCTCGCAAGGGACGGAAGTCAGCAGCCGCCGGAGGACACAGCGGGGATCGCGGACAAGGTAAGACCTGTACTCTGTATTCCAGAGTGTGGCTCTGGGTTACCCTGATCCACACTCGGGAGAACCAATGGAAACGCGCGGAAAAACGCCCCAAAGAAGCTCCTGTACTTCTTTGGGAGTAGGGCGTTTTTTCTGCGCCTTCCTACGCGCTGAAATAGGCATAAGTGGGAACCATGCCCATAGGAAAGTATGGGATTTCACTTGCTGGACGTTTTATAGCGCGTTGATCAGCGCTGTAAAACGCCCAGGTGTAAACCAGGCCTAACTATCATTTCCAGAGCGCTTAGTGCGAGTCGCCGAAGGCTTTCTGTTATAACATCGGACAGGTATTTAGAGCTAACAATATGATGAATGATGAACCAGATGATAAACCGATGATGAAGTCTGAAGTGGGAATATTTTGTTTTCGGATAATTACTCAGGCAGTCATTTTTGAGAAATGTGTTAGTGTTTCCTGCAGGTAAAGACAAACAAATAAACCTTTTTGTTTAGTTTCGGATGGAGTAAGGAATTCTTAAAGGATAAGTGCACTTTAAAACAACAAAATGCATTGACCTTTTTTACCCCCTTCCCCTGACCTAATGTAACCCCCCCTTTCCCTCCAAAGTGTAATGCTTACCTTAAAGTGATATGAAAGTTAAAAGGATTTTAAGCTATTTCAAATGCTGATGAAATCACGTACAATGGATGCTGCTTCTTGATGTTTAAAAGTTTTAGTTTTCTGCAGAATCAGCTGTTCCCCTGAGCACTGAGCCTGATATGTATGTATTTATTTATTATTGGTATTTATATAGTCCCAACAATTTATGCAGAGTTTTACATAGTGCACATTCACATCGGGCTAGGTTCACACCTAGGCAACTGTTCATTGTAAACCGCACGATTGTCGCACCTTTTTCAATTCGTAGAGATGTCTGTGGGACCCAAACTGCACGACAACCGCCTGAAAATAGCTCCTGCACCTTTTTGCGTGACAGGCGATTTCGTCCGCGCGACAAACCGTAAAGGTGTGAATAACCTCCATTGACTTCAATGCGAATCTGTGTTTTGCGTGATATCACGCGACTTAAACCGTGCGATAAACCGCCTAGGTGTGCACCAGCCCTTAGTCTGATATCCTGTTTTAGGGTGGCTCCTTTCCCTTGCAGGGTCCTATGGAGCCAATCTTGTGTGTGCTATTAAGCTGTGTGTGTCTCCACAAACATACAGTACAGGCACAGCAAGGCGAAACAGTCTCTTCTCCACCCTTCTACCTTCTCCAAGCTAGTAAATGGACAGCTCCTGGAGTCTGCTCTGTCCTCAGAGATCTTGTACTGAACAGGAAGTTTAGGGAAGCTGAGCTGAGAGAGTCGGGGCTGTTTGTAAACATGATGACTGTAAGTGCTTGGGTAAAAAAAATAAAGAAATACTTTCCAGGGCAATGTATATTTGTCTGATCTGAATTAATTATTGAAGAACATCTGAGAGTTTAATGCTACTTTATTCTGACAGAGGCAGTTCTGCTGTTTGTTTACATCCTGAGCTGAACGTCTTTGGCCTCATTCACACAGCATTGGATCCGGCCGTACAGATCCATGCGGCGTGCACAGCCTCATCGGGCCGTTTCCGGGAGGGACAGGTGCTGCATGTGATTGCGTGCAGCAGCCTGTTCTTCCCTATGGGAGGATGCGGTACTGATCTAATGATCGCAGTTGCACATTTTATGAAAAGCTGTGCATTTCATTATTTTTTTTTTAAATAAAAGGTGAGAAAATATTTGGGCGCTTTATGAAGCCGACCAATCTGCTAGAAAAACAGTCAGACCACCATTCCTTATTACCTGCAAGCCTTCAACATTGAACTATCTTGAGTTGTCTAGTACTCTACTGACCTCTGGTGGCCATTCTTAGTAGCGCTGTCACTTCAGCTGCAGGAACATTGGAATTTGAAAAGTTGTTACATTCCTTGTTAAAGTTGGCCAGCTTTAGTTCAGCTCGATTACCCCATGCACGCAAAACAAAATGTTTCAATCAGCTTTTGTGGCAGGAGCCGGGCCGAAAATTGTTGCTGGAGCAGTGACTACAGCCAATCATCTGCAGTCACTGTTTGTGTATTCCGATAGCAGCAAGCACCAGGCTATCTGAACCCAATAGCCAGCAGGGGATATTCCTCCAGCCGTTATAGTCAAACAGCCATTGCCCGCCGTTGTCGGAATAATACATAAATACATGAACTGCAGCTGATTGGATGTAGTTACTGCTTAGCCAACAATAGGGCTACACTGCTCAGATTCAGCTGACTCAATGGAAATTCGAGCAGTGTGCGGACAGCTTAACTTATTACACTCCTAATAACAATGGGATTGCGATATCATGGTGGACTTGTAGTTTCACAAAAGCTAGAGGGCCGGAGTTTGCCCTGCCCTGTATTACAGCTTACCGGTCCTGAGATGTGGTGGCTGCATTAGTTTCTTTTTTTTTGGTTAAAGACATTATTAAGCATGTACAGAAAATACATGTTGTTCTTACTAGAAATTCACTGCACATGTCACTTCCTGGGAACTAAACTGGAAGCACAGACAATGTAATCTTCCTTCAGTAAACATCTCATCCCTCCTATTTAGAAGAGAACTATGAGTTAAGTTTTTTTCCCCATAGTTCTCTTTAGGGTCATGGGAGGACATATACCGTGTTCCCCCGAAAATAAGACACTGTCTTATATTTTTTGGGGCTAAAAAAAACACACTAGGTCTTATTTTTGGGGTAGGTCTTATTTTCGGGGTAGGTCTTATTTTTTTTTTTAATGTACAACAATCCAAAGTTAACGCAAATCCAAATGAAATAATCCAAAATGGCAAAGTTAAGAATAGGGTGATCAGGACAATCAGGGGTGCCGCACCTTTCCAAGAGCAATTTGGTAACCAATCGCTGGCCAAAATGAGCGAAGCGAGCTTTCATTATTGCTTCCTCACAGGCGGAGTGCATTTGGTATCACTCCGCCTGTGACAGGAGCCGGCGCTATAGAGGAGGCATCGGCTTATGCGGCTCTGCTCCCTCCGCTGCCGCCTTGCTTCCTCTAGAGCTGGCTTCGTTGGCACCGCTGATTCTCTCCCGCTGCTCTTCAAGTTCCCCCTTATGCCACCACTGGCCCTGGGAATGGTCCCAACTAGGTCCTATTTTTGGGGTAAGTCTTATTTTCGGGGGAAACAGGGCACTAACCTCCTCCTGTGACCCAAAGCTCAGATGGTAGATGATCAGGAAGTGAGCGTTGAGGGAGTGACGGTATGTGTTTGCTCACTTCCCGATCAATAGAGCCAACCTGTGACAGTTTCATTGTCACAGCTCTAACTATGAGGATGAGTGAAAATCACTCACCTCATAGTTCTCCTTTAATGTAGGTGAACAGAGGAAGACATATTCGAAGTTCCAGACTGAGTAACAATGATAGCTCCCTCCATAGATACAATGCAGGAGTGAACATTGTCACCATAATCACCGGGTGAAAAAAAATACAAAATGCTTAAGCTAATGCAGCCACATCTATGGGCCCGTTCACATCAGATGCAGTGCGCTCCGGCCCATTTCTGGCCAGAACGCACTGCCTCGCATTGCGGCCGGCTCACTTTTTTAATGGGGCAGGAGGGGGAGTGGCGGGCCATTGAAGTGAATGGCAATGTAGCCACACCCTCTGTGCCCACACGGGATCGCAAGGCACATTAAGCCAGCGGTCCAGTGCGATCAAAATAGTGCTTACAGCATTTGATCGGACCGCAGGCATAATGTGGGGCCCATCGCATTGCAGCTGGAGGGCGTGGTTACGGTGCCATTCACTTCAATGGCCTGCCACGGCCCCTCCTACCCCACAAAAAAGTGAGCTGGCCGCAATGCAAGGCAGTGCGTTCTGGCCAGAATCGGGCCGCAACGCACTGCATCTGGAAGGAGCACTTAAGGTCACCATACACATTACAATCTGATTGTACCATTCAAAGCTGAACTGATTAAACTGAAGAAAGAAACTGATTGGTTGCTATGGGCAATTGCTCCAGATTCTGTCTGCTCCAGTTTCGATACATTGCCCCTATTGATTACATTGATCAGCCAGTGGGGGGAATAGTCTGCAGGAGTCTGAGTATTGCACTCCTGATCACAGTTGCAATGCTTTGCAGATTTAATGCACATTTTTGTATTAATTAATGTCGGTGCATTTATTTATTTTTTTGCACTATACCTTGTAACGTAAAGCAATCTTCTGTTATAGCTCTATAAAAGTCAATGACATTCTGATCCACAGTCCCGCCTGGACATTTAAATCTGGCAGAGTCTCCTCCTCTGTAATGTGTTCTGGTCACGTGAGAGTTAACACAGTCGGTGTCGTCACTAGGGGGCGCGGCCACCGTGCTGTCATTCGGAGGATACATTGTAGCAACGTTCACTGTTGATGTTGTCTACGGTCCATTCATCGGGGGTTACAGGTCACGTGACGGACACCTTCTTGAAATAAGAGACCAGGGAAGCAAAGGTCGCCTTGGTTTGGTGATCGGCCTTTGTGACAATCTATTGGGCTTGACCAATTCCACAATGAAGGCTGACTAGGCAGTCAGCACAGCTTCTCCTTCCTGTGCATGATCTGAGTCCTGCAATGTCACAAGCTTTGCATTTGAGAACTGGCTTCTTGCTTATAAGCAGTCTAAGGAGCTCCAGGAATGTATCTAGATGGAAGGAAGTTGCAATTCGGTATCAGGGAAACATATTCAAGCACAGCAGGATAAAAAGCCTATCGAAGGTCTCATTGATGTGCCTGGGCTTTAAATATGTGCCAACACAGTGTGAGGGACTGTACCAAAGGGAAATACCAGCAGGGGTGTCCGCTGGAGCATTACTAGTTCATCAGAAGTCTAAAGAAAGCATCCTGAAAAAGATCAGCTTCCTGGTTCGCATGGTTGTACGGTCTTGTGTCCTCTTTTTGAAATTCGGACCGTTGTTAATAGTGTATCCATTGGCTTTCTTTTCGGACAAATTTTATACTCTTTGGCTTCATCTTCTGCTGAAGGCCACTGAGTCTTCAGGGCCGGCTTGCATTAAACTTGGACAGTGGGCTAGCACTCGAAGGGATATTTTCTCCAAAACGTTCTGCGCCAAATTTTCCAAACTTCACATTAAGGTGGAGCCACACTCTTGGGGTTACACAGAGTTTTGCCTGAAAAGAGCCTTTGGAGATAACTATGGTCAAGTTTTGAAATTTCCAAATAGGGAACCCGTAGGGTCTGGCTGCGTGGCTCAGGTGTACAAAGCCTACGCCGACCTGTCTGTTATTGAGAGTATGGAATCACAATCTCTGGTCGGAATCTCTGGGAGTGACTATGGTTTTGAGGCATGGGAAGTGGCGGGGCTCGGTGGGATTTTCAGGCATCTTGAGAAACGAGGAACGTCCGATCGTGATGCTCTAGAAGACCGAGGAAATCTTGATGGGACTCGTGATATCCAACAAGGAGAAGATCCATATCTTTCATCTGTAAAGGGACCAGGAGATGATTCCCATTGCTTGATTCCTGTCGCTGTAAAAGTAAGTCCAGAATCACCAAAAAGTGACCAAAATCAGCAAACATTATTTTTGTTCCACAATAGAATTTATGAAACTTGGTTCATCTGTGATATGTGTTAAAGCCCAACTTAAACCAAAACTTTCAGCCACTGGATTTTATTTCCATCTGTATTCCTGTTGGGTGGACTTCACTCTATTTCCTCCTTGGTTGACAGGAACTGATGAGATCTCCCCAACATGGGCAGAGACAGCAATAAGACGCTGACAAAGTCTCTCACCCCTCCTTTCCCTATTTTATAAAATTATTTTATTATTGTCTGTTCCCCCCCCATCCCGGTGGAGAGGGGGTCCGCTCACTTCCTGTCTGATTGACCACCAGTAGGGTAACAATAACTATAGCAGCCCACTCAGCTGCTATGGGGTCTGGGGGTGGAAGGGGCCCCATTAGTGTGGCAATTGCACATAGAAATGTGTGCATGTAAAGATAACACAAAGGTAGTACTGTGTTATTAAGGATTGCAGAGGTTGTTGTTGACACTGACCCTGAACCCCTCTGTGGCATTTCCAATCAGAAGGAGCTGACGAGGACTGCAGAATGATTTTCACCAGTCACATATCCCTCATTTAAAATCTGTGCAGTAAGGGGGAATTGTTTTGCTGTCTTTCTATAGATAGATTTATTGCTCTCAAAGCTTCTGGTCATCCCAGCCAGGACTGAAATTAACCTTGTATGCCCAACATAGTCTTCTTCAGACTGTAATAATCCAAGAGTGGATCTTCATCTGAAAACTGACAGCTGTTTGTAGTTCTGCAAAAACAAACCCCGCGGTTTAAAGTAGTTTCTTTTAGAGTTCTAGAGTAATTGTGTGCTTACCATTATGTTATAGTATAAAATATGTGATGGCCATTATTATTGCTACTACAACTCTTGTTTTCTCTGTTTACTGACTACTATACCACCTCTTTCAGGACTTGTTTGCTGTGGCAGTGGAAAGGGTTGGGGAGTTTAGAATTTAGGCCCCGAGATCTAATTGGTGAACAAGACTGGGGAGCTACTGGGGACATAGTAGTGAGCTGGAAAGGTAATCTTAAAAGTTCATTCCCTGCACTGATGCCCCCTCTTCCCTGACAACTTCTGACCACAGCTCTGGTCCCTAGTGGCATGCTGACTATGCTGACATCGTTCCTGCTACTTGTCCTTGATTTGACATAGGGATGCACCAATACCAATAGTAGTATCGGTAACGGTGTCAATACCGAGTATTTGGGCGAGTACTCATACTCGCCCAAATGCTCCGATACCTTTCCCGATACTGGAACTTCCGATCAGAGGGAGATTTCCTCTGACCGGCAGTGCCACGAGGGAACATGGAGCCAGGGAGCTGGCTCCATGCTGTTTGGCCGGCTTGATACTGATTGGCCGGGAAGCCGACTTCCCAGCCAATCAGTGTCGAACCGGGCAAACAAATCTGATAATATGGCAACACGAGCCCCACCTTGCAGACAAATTATTCCCCTCACATAGATCCTTAGCAGCAGTCATTACTGTACCAGTCCCTCGGCCAGCTGGGCAGACACCGCTCTCCAAGCTCTCCCGGATCTGCCCACGTCTCCTGTGTGTACAGCGCCTGCGTGATCGGCCCTCAGCCTGCTACTGCGCATGCACAGGATTTCTGAATGAGAGCGCTGGGCAGTCTGCGCATGCACAGTAGCAGGTTGAGGGCCAATCACGTGGGCGCTGTACACACAGGAGACGGGGCAGATCCGGGAGAGCTTGCCCAGCTGGCCGAGGGACTGGTACGGTAATGACTGCTGCTAAGGATCTATGTGAGGGGAATGAGGTGTCTGCAGGGTGGGGGTCGTGTCACAATATTTTCAGATCTGTTTGGCCAGGCCTCAATGCCGATTGGCAGGACAATCAGCATCGGGCATGCCAAACAGAATGGAGTTGGCTTCACGGGCAATCAAGAAGCCGGGCGGTGGATAATGACACGCCGCCTGGCTTCCTGATTGCCCAGGAAGCCGGCTCTATGCGACCAGGAGTATCGGTAGCGGTACTCGGTATCGGCGAGTACCGAAATATAAATATCGGTACTCGATATTGGAAAACCGGTATTGGTGCATCCCTAATTTTAAATATTATTATTATTCAGGATTTAGTGGCAACATTTTGAGCAGAGCTTTACAATTTAAGGAAGACATTACAGTTACAATAAAAATCAAGACAAGATGGTAAGGAGGGCCCTGCCCGTGAGAGCTTACAATCTAAAAGGGAGGGGCCAGTGATACATGAGGAGGTAGCTGTGTGGGGATGAATTGTTAGAGAAAGTGATAGTTCAGTGGTTAGGTTGAGGCGGGATAGGCTTCCCTGTAGAGATGAGTCTTTAGGAATCGCCTAAAGGCAGACAGAGTAAAAGATAGCCGGACAGATTGGGTAAGGAGTTCCAAAAGGTGGGAGACACTCTAGAGAAGTCCTGGAGGTGAGCATGTGAGGAGTTGACGAGGGAGCTAGAGAGCAGGAGGTCTTGGGAGGAGCGGAGGAGACAGGTGACATACTTTAGGTTAAGATCAATGGTAGTAGGGTGGTTGCCAGGGACCTTATGAACATTTTCTATAGGTGCCCCATTATCTGTAGTTATGTCCCTGGTGACCACGCAGGAAGTGAGAAAAAGAATCTCTCCCATGGCTGCTAAAAAAAGGGCTACAGAAAAAAAAACTGATAGTGATTTTAACCAATTTCCCATCTTTCCAAAGCTAAAAAAAAAAAAAGTAATTTTGGTGAGTGTAGTCTGAATTTACAGTCAAATGTATTCATCAATGGACCATTCAACCATATTTTCATGTAATCATCGGCCATGTTAATATGGAGCTGGCCAAATTTAAAGTAAACCTGTGGCCCATCTAGGCAATTCAAACTGAGCATATGGTAAAGCGGGCATTCCATGAGAAAAAAAGTAAATTAAAAAAACATATACAAATTCTTCATTCTTGTCCCTGGGCTGAAGCACATTTTAGAGGGATTTGGAGAGTCCAGATATCCCAGGAGTCACCCTGCCTCCTAGAAAAGTTGGAGGCCAAGGTAAGTCATTGCTTTCTTAATCTATTTGGGAGGTGAGAGGCTGTCAGTAGAACACACCTTACAGTTTGATATAACAGGAATCGTGGACTGAACTGGAGAGCAGAGCACTACTTTACTCTACTTTTACCTTGCTTCCCAATCTAGGTCCTGCATCCTGGTCTTAGACAACAGGTCAAAATGGACCTCCTGCTAATGAAGACTTGGAGCCAACTACTTGGACTGATCCCTGGATTCAAGTGGCTGAGCCTGACCGGGATTGTGGAAGAGTTTGAGAAACTCATGACACGACAAGTGAGTTAAACTGTTACAACCATGGCTGAATTTAGAAGTCTTGTAGCTCTAGGCATACATGAATGATGACATCCCTTTGCAAAGTCATTGCCCTCGTGCCGTGTAAATTTTCAGAAAAGCTAGAATGAGATAAAGAACTGTAGAGATCAACAAAGAAGAATAAGGAGAGACAGCTTCATGTTTTCTAAACTGTAAAGGGTCTTCTGACTCCATTGAACGTCCTCTGTATCCCCTCCCCCTACAGTTCACTTGCTAAAATGTAGCCATAAATGTACAGAAATTCAAAGAAGAATGAAATAAAAGGAGGAAAATTATCACTGCTTATACATTTTAAGGTTTGGTGCTGGGCACCATTCACTAAGCTGGCCTGGGAACTGCTCCACAATTGCCATTATGGTGAATACAGCACAGACTATGGGCCATCTCAGATGAGCAATATAGTTGCAGAAGTTTGTACCATCTGCAAATCTTTCCCATTATTTTGCATGGTGCATTGTAGCTGGCTGCAGAATTTCCCTTGTATCTAGCCACATTACTTGTCTGTGCTGCTACTGCGAATCTCTGGTGTGACAAAAGTATAAGCACCTGGATATCATTGGATTAATTTATAAAGAATAGATTGAATCAGATAAATAATACATTATGGCCTCTAGATGGCGCTGGGGATCATAGGAAAAAGTCTTCAGCTCCATTTAGTGGCCATTATTCGTTTCCTTTGTGGCCATTATTCGTTTCCTTTGATCCTCAGCTCCATCTAGGGGCCATTATTCGTTTCCTTTGATCCTCAGCTCCATCTAGTGTCCATTATTCATTTCCTTTGATCCTCAGCTCCATCTAGTGGCCATTACTCTTTTCCTATTATCCTCAGCGCCATCTAGTGGCCATTACTCTTTTCCTATTATACTCAGCGCTATCTAGTGGCCATTACTCTTTTCCTATTATCCTCAGCGCTATCTAGTGGCCATTACTCTTTTCCTATCATCCTCAGCGCCATCTAGTGGCCATTACTCTTTTCCTATCATCCTCAGCGCCATCTAGTGGCCATTACTCTTTTCCTATCATACTCAGCGCCATCTAGTGGCCATTACTCTTTTCCTATTATCCTCAGCGCTATCTAGTGGCCATTACTCTTTTCCTATCATCCTCAGCGCCATCTAGTGGCCATTACTCTTTTCCTATCATCCTCAGCGCCATCTAGTGGCCATTACTCTTTTCCTATAAACCTCAGCACCATCTAGTGATCATTACTCTTTTCCTTTTGATCCTCAGCTCCATCGAGTGACCATTACTCTTTTCCTTACTTCCTGTCCGCGTGACACCTTTACAAGAAATGTAAGATTGTCACCAGGACAGGAAGCCACTGACAACGATAACATTCTGACAGGGGCTCCAACACTTCCTTGTTCTATCCAAAATTAATTAAAAAGTTGTGGGCTAGAGGTTGTAACTGCAAAATGTAGGAACAGTCTAAAAACACATGAGACGATTTTTTTGCTCTTCTTCCTGCAGATAGATCTCAAATATGAAGCCAGAAATTTGGAGATGTTTCATCAAAAGTTCGAAAAAATTGACTTTATAAAGTTTCCCATCCCGCTGCGACCCTTCGTCACAAGGAATATACTGGTAGAGACGTTTGAGGTGAGTATTATGACAAAGTCTGGGATGAAAACTGAAACACAGATGTATGGAGACTTCCATTGCTACCTGGCAACTAGCAGTTTCTGGACAGAGCGGCGATGGTAGACTCCATGTTTCTCTCATGACAGCATTCATAACTATGACATAACTATTTGTTACAGGAAGGCGAACCCTTGTCTGTCTATCTAGAGGAGACAGAATCTACTCAGATCAAGCAAAGGATAGCTGCAATGGGTGTTGACATGTTGCTGAAGATGGTAAGATAACATATGATAGAGGTAATTTATAATAGAGGTACCTATATACCTACAGATACCTCTCTGTTTGATACCAGGGTTTGACATTGTGGCTGTACATGTGCAAATGAATACAACAAAAACCTGACTGAACCCGGTCCGAACCTGAGCTTCTTCGAACGAGGCGCTGCCATGACCACTTCCACCCAATTAGCTCCTGGCCAGGCATTGCCCACCCTGCAGCTGCATGTAAAGAAAGGGGCGGGATGCCTGTGCTGAAGTCATTTACTTAATATTACCACATACCCATATTAGGTAAATATAATTTACCAAATATAGTCATGTAGCCATATAAGGTCAGTGATGTCACTGCATCCCGCCCCTTTGCTTACGTCACGTTGTGGGAAGGGAATTCCCACCTCGCAGCGGATTAGGCATCACAGAAGGAGCCATATATGGCAAATGACATCAGCACAAGTATCCCGTCCCTTTGTTTGCATGCAGCTGCGGGGCGAGCAATACGTGTCCTGCAACTGATTGGGCACTTCCTTGTTTGGAGCTCAGGTTCGGACCTGTTTAGTCCGGACCGGAGCTCATCCCTTATGCTGAAGTAGGTAATTAGTAGTAATTAGATCTTTTTGTGCTGACTAGCTGGATTGTGTTCTGGCATTTTTTTTTTTACTGTTCATTGACAACAGACGTGACAAGATACAGATCCAATAACATACTGTATTCTGGAACATTTTTTTTTAGAGTGACTGGTAATGTTGAGTTTTTGCCTTGCAGGTGTTTGTGGATAATTTCGTCCATGCTGATCTGCACCCCGGTAATATTCTCGTACAGGGGGCTCAGGACTATGTTTCAAGACAGGCTGAGCAGACCACGTTGGTTGACATGTGCGACACGCTGATTGTGAATGTCCGCCCCAGTCGCTGCCCTCTCCGTCTGGTTCTGCTGGATGCAGGAATTGTGGCAGAATTGCAGGACAGAGATCTTGAGAATTTCCGATCTGTATTTACTGCGGTGATACTGGGCCAGGTGAGAGAGGGGCTGGAAGGCTTTTATTTCTGTTCCTGAGATCCCGCCAAAAAAACTTTTTTTTAGTTTTGGATAGAGTGGAGAGGGATTAGAACCCTTGTCAGGTTTCTACTTTTGTCTGTGACCCCCGTTAGGGAGAATTACCCTCTCTTTTTATCCTGGTGACCATTATCACGGAAAGGGAAAGAAAATCCAAAACTCTGGGTGGTCATTAGAACAGGAGTAGATGGGGAATCTTCCAGTGGGGGCACTTGTTCTGGTGACTCTACTTTCCTTTCATTTCCTGTTGTGGCTATGGGAAGGAAGTGAAGGGAAATCTCTCACCGATGACAAAAAAAAAGGATGACAGGGGTTATAACGCTTCTTTACTCTATACAAATCTAAACAAACTTTTTTGGATTTAGTTCTACTATAATGGGCATGTAAAGGCTTGTGATTTCAATGTCTGAAATTCAAACTTGTAAAACTTAATATATGATATTGGAGTAAAGGTCAGCTGCACCCAGGTTGAATGTCATTCTGTCGTCTCATCTCCAAAGTTAAATGTTCCTCTATGGTAGTGTGTGTCTCTGCCCTCCCATAGGGCCATAATGAAGGTGCCACTCTCAATGGCAGCTGGACTTCTTAATTATTGGTTTATTCTACTGAGAATCCATCACATGACTTTGTGGTGACCCTGGCAGGTGGGGGAAACCAGACAATATGGATAATATATATCTGTACATGGTTCCTAAGAGATATAGAAATTCAGTATATTAGTTCTGAGTGGAGCTGAACTTTAACATTTTTGATATTTTAAGAAATATTTTATTATTGCAATCTATTAGCCTGTTTAGGCTAAATATGTCTTACTGGAGGCTGACTGTCATTGGGACTAATGTGCAGGAAGTCATAGCAAAAGTAGAAATATTATATAAAAATGATAAGTTAAACTCCAGGCAAATAGTGAAATATATACACGTGAACGGTTCACCTGACAAACTATGTTTATCCTGTTTTGTCATTCAAGCACCCTGCCACATAGAATGGTCAGTGACCTCCAATATTCTTCACCACAGCTAGGCAATGCAGCTTGGTCATCAACCTGCCTCCAGCCCATGACTGGACAGTGAAGGAGACAAAGCATACTGAAGAGGTTGTCTGTCTGCTGTCTCCTCCTGTGAACATGTTCAGACTATTGACTGACAGCATGGTGTAAAATCATAGAGCTCTGATTGGCTCAAATGGTTGCCCTGCAGTCTGATGCAAGCGCTATACTAGTTTTACATAAAAATACATTTAATTGTTTTGAATGACCCATAACTGGATGAAATGTTTTGATTTATGTGCCTGGAGTTTGATGTTATAGGTGGGGTGTCATTTCCAAAATATATCGGTGACCTGTGTTGTCTTCTGTAGGGAGAAACTGTAGCTGAACTCATCCTTCACCATGCCAGAGCTAACCAATGTACTGACGTGGAAGCTTTTAAGTCTCAGATGGCCGAGCTGGTGAATGAGGCCCGTAAAAGTACAGTGTCTTTGGGAAAGGTGAGATTGCCACAAATTATTATTTTCTGTTAGTAGAGTGGGGAAAGTTAGAACATTGTTAAAAAGGTTTTATATTAGCATTAGAGGTGCACCGAAATTAAAATTTTAAACCGAAAATGTAAAAAATGTCAGGCCGAACCCGAATTTTTTTTTTATTAACTTTTTAATTTTTTTATATATATTTAATTTTTTAACTTTATTGTTGGGGGCTTCGGTGAAATATCAGAGGTAACATTAAACATATGTTTTTCTGCAGCCCCTGTTATAAATGAACTGGAAGCCTCTGAGTGATCCTGTTCATTCATAACTTGTGGATATAGTATGTTTACCAAGTACACAATTATGAATGAAGTGGAAGTGATGTACATCACTTCCTCTTCATTCATAACTGGTACATAGTGACTCATACTATGTCCAGTTATTTACAAACAGTCAGCGATCACTGATCGCTGACTGCTAGTACCGCACTCTATCCTGACTCGGCTGCCACAGGGGAGTGAGCCAGCGGTGCAGGGAGGAGAGTTTGGCCTATTTTGATAGCTGACCCCTCCTCCTCACTGCCGTCTCAGGCTCCTGTGACAGCGCACAGCTGTCCCTGCCCCAACACCGCTCTCAATCCTGATTGATTAGAGGAGGCTGAGGAGAGCCCGGATTCCTGTGACATCGCGACTTACAGCACTCCCCGCACCGCTCGTCCTCTGACAGTTTCTCTCCTCCCTGCTAGATGCTGCACTGTGTAAAAGGGGACACAGAGCACCAGCCAGCAGGGAGGAGAGAAACTAGGCATGCACTTCAATTTCGGCGGAAAGATGGCACTTTCGGCATTTTGACAAAAGTGATGTTTAACTTCCTCCCATAAAAATCATATATTTTTATATGTAATGCTAAATATGAGATGCTGCCTGTAGGAGGCAGGAGTGGAGGACTGGGGGCAGCGGTGTAACTATAGGCATAGCAGCCCAAGCGGCTGCTATGGGGCCTGGGGGTGGAAGTGGCCCCATTAGGTTGTTGAGGCAAACTAAACATAGAACATGTAAAGATAACACAGTTCTGTATCATTAAGTGTATGAGTGGTTGCATTTGATGACAACCCTAATCTTCTGTAAAGTCCACAGCAGGGGTGGGCAACTCTGGCCCTTCAGCTGTTGTGGAACTACAAGTCTCATGAGGCATTGCAAGATTGGCAGCCACAGACATGACTCCCAGAGGCAGAGACATTTTGGGATTTGTAGTTAAAGCACAGCTGGAGGGCCAGAGTTGCCCATCCCTGGTCTACAGTTGATGTCAGATGCACAAAGGGAGTCCTTGGAAACTTGGTGTCATTAGTCATAGCTCAGAGAGAGGTCGTCAGAGGAGCCCCCCCCCCCCCCCCGCCCCCGCCTCCTTGACATTGTA